TAACAACTGCGACTTCTTTTATTTGTAATAAATGTGCCGGAAATAATCCAATTCCTTGAATCATGACAAAATTAACGAAAAATGATGCTATCTGTGTTCATTTTTAAAATTTTTTTTTAAAACTTGTTTAAAAAATATAAAAGATATGATCATATTTATATTTATATTTACTTGTGGTAAAGTTGTTGCCAGTTTATGTGCAATTCCTGTTGGATTATCAATAATTTCTTGTATAGTGGTAAACACAGCACCAGCAACAGTAAAGGCAAGTAAAACATTAAACAATAAGAAGAAATAATATCTATTTTCACGAAAAAAAAAAAAAAAAAAAAGAATGTGAAATTAGTCATAAGTTAATTGATAAAAAAAAAATAATATAATTATTTAATAATTACACACTTGGCAAATGTTGAAAACTCGATCACACTACGTGCATGAAATCCTTGACGTTTGGAAAGAACTATTCGAGTTATGAATAAAAAAAAAGTGTTATTTAGAATAAATATACAAATATTATAATATAAAAAAATAACTATATATGCAAATTAGTTAATAACTTACCAATCATAATTTTTGGAACAACTATGTTAAACAAAGATACTGCAAGGGTAGGAAGTGTCCCTTGGATTAAACCTTTCAACATTTCATTTTTATTTGCCAAATTCGCTAACCAAGGAAATATTTTTGATAAAGCTTCTAAGCTTAGCAACGATGCAAAAAATGTTATAGGCCCAGACCAAAGAAATACTATAAAGAATACAATAATGTTGACCCATATGGTTCGAATAAGATATTCCCTATTTCTAATTGTAAGATTACTCCAATAACTTTTGTAGATTTTTTGAAAATATATATATATATATATATATATATTCATTATTATTAAAGATTAATTTAAAACATTATAAATTCATATAAAAGATAATTTAATATACATGTCACGTGGCTCTGGTGCAAGAGTAGTTTGACATTGAAAAGGTTCAGGTCTTATAAGAATTTGAGCAGCTAATTGCTTAATAAAGAAGAATTTTATGGTTAGGAGCAAAAAAAAAATATATTGATTGATTTTAAAAAAATAACTACTACTATATATAGTATTTACCGCACTAGTTATATTTTCAAAGGTAACAAATCCAACTGATGAAGAATGATAAGCACCACGTCTACCTCGTTGAACCATTTTATCAATTTCATTAAATTTTTCGGTATAATATTCAATCTTGTCTACCTTTTTACCAAATAATCCAAATAATCCAGTCCTCATTGTAGGACGATTTCGACCAACAGGTGAAAGAACAGCAGATGTCACTTCATCAGTTGATGAAGGGTCTATAGTTTGTGCATGCTCAAATGCCTTTAGCGTTTCATCACGATCATAATCATCATCTGTACACGGGTTCCCCAAATATTCTGTATATGCCATTTCCAATTTTTTTAAAGCCTTTAATCTATCATTAATTGCATGTCTTAACCTCCTTACATATCGATAGATAACAGCACTTTCAACAGGACCAAAACCTAACGAATCATAAAATTCAGCAAGCGCTCTATCTGTTTGTATTCTCTTTGGAATAACGGTTACCATAACAGTCCTAGAAGTAATTGTTTCTTTCCATTTAAGATAATATCTATGCCTTACATTAGAAAATTCCCGATAATTGTAAAACATAAAATAATAAGATGCGATGGAAAAGACCCATGTGAATAGAGCATATGAAATTAAGACAGGCAATGGTTCTGGCCTATTGTCTACTGGAAGCTCGATAGGATCATTACCAAAATTATTATCGACATTAGGATCATCACCGTGAGAATCATCTGGATCCTTATATATTAATTCATATAATTTTATTGGTGACATGTATACTAATGCAAAAATACTACAAAATGCAAAAAGCTTATAGGACATTTTGAAATACGCCAAAAGCTGATGATGGCGACGATGATGATGATGGTGATGGTGATGATGGTAGTAATGATTATGATTATTATGATTATGAAGAGTTAATTAAATTAAACCATTTTAATGGATTATAAAAAAAATTAATTACAGTATAATAATTACCACAGCTGCATCTAAACCAACCCTGTTCAGGACTGTTGATTCGGGAATTTTATATAAAGGTACTATCCATCCAAAAAAGGATGGTGGTAAAGGATCTGGTGCAAGCCTAATTTTTAAAAACGTGAATAGATAAATGAATGGATATTTTATATTTAACATATTTATTATTAATTAGTTGAAGTCGAGAATGTACCTTTTAAGCCTTAAACGTGGAGCAAACATTGAACGCCATCGAGTCCTCAAAAAACAAAAAGTAAGAAGAGTTACAGAACCAAGTGAAATTGAAATTAAAAATTGAGTTGTTAAGAGTAAAGTTTTACCTATGGAGAGGTTCAAAAAAATAAGAAATTAAATAATGTTTAAACACTTTAGAGTATATATACAAAAGACAACATATATTTACTAGCATTATCAAAGATATCACCAGGAACTTTAGCTTGTCTTGTAATCGGCTCAAAAAAAGCTAATGGTAGCTGTTTAGTATCATAAACGTCTTTTATGAAGTTATCTTCTGTCGTCATATTTAATCTGATGATCGACAATCAATGACAAAAAATTGATTATAAAAAAAATATATATATATATAAACAGATATGTCGTATCACGTTTTTTTCCAAGTTGGGGAGTCATTAGTATGTTTTCAAAAGTTTGGTGTGCCAAACATCGCATGTTGTACAACGTACATTAGAAATAAAAATGTTTAATCTAAATTGTCAAATTTATTTTAATAATTGCAGAAACTGTTGGTTGGCCCATCAATGAATTATTTAATTGTACTTGTCCACATCAATATGGTGAAGGATCATTTGCAACAAAAGTGTTAAATTATACATGCAACCAAAGTATTTAGATATTATCATAATTATTATTACGCATGTTTTTAATTACTGATGTCAATAGCCTAAATTATTCCAATCTCAAAAAGCAAAACAATTTGGGCTGCATGTATAAGTCGAGGCTTTATTAAATTTACAATTTTTTAAAAAAATCATATAATTTAAACTAAAATGTAAATGTATGGCATGTCAAAATAGACAAAAGTTCCTGATACACATCATTTTTTTTTAAATTCTTTTAAAATGCTACTAACGTTTTCAAATGCTACCCACACATTGTTCTTTTTAAACGCCACGCATCATTATACCATTTGATGTCATTATCCATAATAAATGATTTAAATAATTACATCTATCCGAGTAATGGTAATACCAAGACCATGCATGCAGATATAAATAATTGAAGGGTTGGAAAATAAACCCTTGACACTTTTAACCCTCCCCTCCGTGTAGGGCTAAAGCTCCATTACCTCATCATCCAAATTGGTGATGGGAAATTTCAGTGGCTGAGACTCTGCTTGGGTCCCTGGGTTCCTTCCCGATTGTACGTATGCATTTAGGAATTGTAAAAATCTAAAATATTGATTTTAGGTGTCATATTTAACAGAACATTCTCCTCCCAGCTGTAATTATCTATATCACTAGCATCAGAATTTCCAACAGGCTCTTTAAAAGAACCTGAATGTAATGAATGTGACAATCAATTCAGAGCCTGCCCTATCCCCGTTTGAATTTTCATTACATCATATCCCCCGGGTCAGATTACTCTTTTTTTTGGACAAAAGATGTTAGAACGACAAGAGAAGGAGCGAGCCACAGATATACTCGAACAATGGAACTCTGGTACATTGCCAGTGTAAAAAGATCGATTTTTGCAATGTGCATGTTGTATGTGAAAATTTAATTCTTCCATGCAGCGTGCACATCAAAACTCCAACACTATATACCACTGACACACGGATGCATTGGAATGCTCATACTCTGTGTCTCGAGAACTTTTGTACTCTTGGAAATATATATGTGTGTCCGCAATTTTAAGACGAATAGATAAATCGTATAAAGTGTACTAAATATGGAAATTTACAAGTTCTAATAAAATGCGCTAATCAACATATAAATTATTGTATGTATGGTGTAATCAAATTTTGCAGGTAGTTATCTCTAAAGTACGTGATATTTGGTCTGGTCATCCAACCTTTTCTACTTTCTATATTAATATATTAATATGTATGCATGTATGTGCGTGGGTGAGTGGTTTTTCTTTTTCGTAAAAGGGAATGAAAATGAAGAAAGTAAGAAGAAAATCAAAGGAAAAACAACAAAATGAGAAGAATCGAATTTGAATAGCGTGAATGGTTGATGTAATAGTGGTGGTTGACATGACTTAAACCGCAAGGAAAAAAATATCCATATTTTCCTTGCAATGCAAAAATATGTGTCAGCTCGTACATAACAAAAGCTTTAATGCTTGAAAGTGGTTATATTATACATTTTCAGATCATTTGAAAATTCAGAGATATCATCCGTTAATTTTGTCATGATTCAAGGAATTGGATTATTTCCGGCACATTTATTACAAATAAAAGAAGTCGCAGTTGTTA